GAAGGGAACAGGATGAGGGATCCACAGGTCATCCTCACACACAGCCAGGGAGCACACAAGGCACCCATTGGAGTGCTGCACTGCAAGGGGTGGGATTGGGGCACCCTGCACCCCAGAGCTGAAAGAGCATGTGAAGGAGTGGGGGGTTGGCAGGTGGAGACCCCATCTCCCACCCCCTTTCCAGATCAACTCCAGAGTGATCCCATGCACCAGTCACACCAGAGTTAAGAAACTATTCATTTTGGTTGAGTCTAACATGGCTTTTGCTCTAAAAAACCTCCACAATGAAGTGAATAATGATACAGGTAATGATAATGGTTATACTAAGAATATTCTCATGGAAGTGCTGCACCTCCTCATGTTGTAAAAAGAAGTTTCGAGGGATGTGGGGGGTCCTGAGGCTTACACAGCCTTTCCCAAGTTAAGGAGCAGGCTGAAGCTTACCCTGTGATGGGCTCCTGAGAGGGATCTGCCTTCTTAGGCTTCACAGCAGACAAAAGACATGCACAGGAAGATGAGGATTCTGCATTTCTACTGAGAGGAGAAATTGAGCCATAGCCTTCAACCTGCAACCATCCTCGCTGACAATAGGGTCACATCGCTGGGAGTCTCTCCTTTCTTGATGTTTGTGTCTCCTCTCTCACCATCCCCAATACTTTGTCTGGCTTGCCTGCACCTGGCTCCACCACAGTGTCTGCCCCCACACCTCCCTCAGCACACCTCTGGGATGTAGTTCTCAGACACCTGATGAGCGACACTCAAAGCCCTGCAGATCCCCGACTGTCCCTTTTAAACACTCCAGGCAGTGTCAGATTCTCCCCCTATCCAAACAAACGTACTTCATTAACCAGTGTATCTACCCACCTGCCTGCAGTGGCCCACAGTAACCAGATGATGACTGTTCATGGAGAAGTTAGGGATCTGCATGGCAGCTGACTTGAGTAGGCACAGACCTGTGCTGTGCTGTATATATCACTTGGCACTTCGCAATGATGTCACAAGCATATCCCTGTCTTTATCTAGGAGTGAAACACCATGTTTTCATACAAATGTTATTTTGCTCAACAGTAGAAATGATAAATAGAGTTGTCTATTTCTAAGCAAATCCCATGAAAACTCCAAAGACAACAATGTCAGTGAATCTCAGCACAGGCAGGATTTGTACCATGTGACAAATGGTGAGTTGAAGTCCACTTT